ACCTGGTTCGGTGCTATAACTATAATAACATATAGGAATGCACCTAACCTAGGAAATCAATCATATCTATGCATGATAAATAAAACCCAAGCTATTAATAGCATAAGAAAGTCTAGGCAAGCTAGCAAAGCCAGCATAAGCCGTCGTACTCTCACAGGATCGAAGCAGGGCGGGCGCTGCGGCTTGAGCGGCATCGGCACGTAAATGTCGTTGGGGCCTGGTGGTGCCGCAAATCCGACGTGACGACGCGTTTCGCGCGGCGTATTCACGGTCGGAGCGGCCCTGTTCCTCGTCATGCCTGGCATTGACTGGGCTGCGCCATCACTGGCTACGCCTGAGCGCTATCCCACGCTGTCGTGCTGTGATGGTGTTCCGGACGAGATGACGATTGGCTCGTCCGCCTGTGCAGGTGCATTTGTGGGTGTTGGTGTTGCTGTAGGTGCATTCGTCGCCGACTGCCGGCGGGCGGCGTCAAGTTCCGCCGAGAGTGTCGCAACTTCGAAAGCAGAATTCTCGAGTTGGCTCACGAGGCGATCGAGCTGCTCCTGCGTCAGTGTCGCGATATGAAATTCAGCCATGGTGGGGGTGTCGGGCAAGCTCAGCGAGAGCCTCTGTCGTGGCCGTGCGTGCTTACGAGAGAGCACTTCGAGCGGCGGTGCTTGGTCGCTGAGAGGCGTCTACCCCCCCCAAAATTGAGATAGTGGGGAAACGAAGGTGTGGATGCGGTCCGAGAGAAGATCGTAGGCTATGGATACCAAGTGTAACGAGTGCAATGGAGCGAGCGAGCGAGAATTGCATTATCGAAGCAAAACAGTACAATGAGCGAAGGATTGAGTGAGAAGTAAACAGCGAAGGCCACAATGGTAACGGTAACGAACTGTGGGTGACGCACGACGGGTCTGGAGCGAGGGTTACAAGCCGAGCCGTGAGGTCGGGGTACGATGGGCAAGGTGGCGGGAAGTTTGTCGAAGCGAGGGTTGCGAGTGGTAACGGCGCTGACTGTGGTGCTACAGTGATGTACACGCTAAGCAGGGATGCAGCGTAAGGAAATTGAAATTTCCTTACAGTACGTAAAAGCTCGGAGAACCAGGGATCGTATTTTTTTGTCCCGTAGCAAAGAGAATTGCAAAAACTGGCTGAATTTGCATTGCAGCTCTTCGTAGTCCTTGTTTTACAGGGTGCCTGCTTGGTCAGTACAGAACATTTTAGGTGACTCAAGAACCAGAAGTTTCAGTCTGTATGGGAAGTACAGGTCCTGCCAGAATGGTGGACCGCAAAAGATGGAAGTTTGTTTCAATCAGACAAATCATGAATCGAGATGTCGCTGACCGTTGGAAGGGTGGATGACAGATGCCAGAAAACGTCAGCAGAGTTGGGGACGAGGCAAACTACAGTGACGTGACGTGTGACGCGAAGGGCACATTGGGATGAAGCATTGAGTGAATCCTGCCCGTCTGTGGTGAAGAACAGACAGACACGTCGACTGATCTTGCAGTTTCGACGTCCGCTGTACACCCTCTTTTGCGCTACACTGACAATGAGATTCACAGGCTGCAGTGTGTACTGTTTCTTGGAACGTAGCGGTCTCGTGCTTACAACCGAACTGCAGGTAGTGACGGGCAAATGGACTCCTTTTGAACGGTACACAACGGTTTTCAGAAAACAAATTGCTTTTGGGTACGGTTGAGTGCGGGCAAACGTGCTTATATCGTATGTGCATGGACCATCCTGGACGCATTGATGTGTGTACATCCGATGAGTTAGTATAGCCATTGACAGTGTAGCGCGAAACAGGGTGTATAGTGCACAGCTGAAGCTGTAATTTGGATTGATGCTCATGTGGGCAGCGTTTTCTTTTTGGGAAAATATGCCACACGTAATCAACAAGGGTCTCGATAATATGTTTGGTAAAAAAAAAACGGGTACGGTGACTGCAAAGGGTGTTTTCACGTGGTTGATAACACGTTTCACGGAATCAGTCACAATCAACGGGGAAAAAAAAACGCGAATGGTCACAGATGAAACTCCCGCCCAAAAAAGATAATACCCAAAACGAACCTGGATACATTTTCGGATGAATCAACCCTAAACACAATTCGCCAGGTGTTTAGGGTTGATCCGTTCCCGAACCGCCTCCGTTTCCGATTGGGTTTTAGTTTTTTTAGAAGTTATCTGATTGGTTCGTCGCGAGCGGGAATTTTGTAGAGTTTCAAGAGTTTTTGGCGGGAGTTACATGTGTGACCATTCGCGTGATTTTTTACCTGTTGTGAGTTACTGAATCCGTGACCCCACTTACCAAGCCCGTCAGCAAACCCGATAGGGTGATCGTACGCGTTTTGTTTTTACCACTCACGTTATCGAGTCCCATGTTGGTTACTTGTGACATAATTTCCCTTTCTTTTTTGTTTTTCAATCATGTCCTCACACTGTACAGGAAAGTTGAAAGTTCTCCTCTTTGCAGTCATTGGCAAAATTCTCACGGCAAACACCTCCAGGGATAAAATATTTCTAAATCATATCCTACGCTTTCCTGCTGGAATTCGATGTGTCCAACTTCCTTGGTTGCGAGCTGCTTGTTCTGCTCAATGCTGGAAAATCACATCACATCCAGCTTCACCGATTTCAGCCACCCTCGTCTGTTCTCCCCAAAACCACTCCCTTCCCATCCAGCAGTCTCCCCCTACCAGTGAACACGATAGAAACCCTAGAATACAGCAGATGCCACCGTTTGAGGTGTGCTGGCCGATCGCATGGTCACTTTTCGTCGTGAACACCAAGGCAGAGAGATCCATCCATTCATTTCATCCCGCCAACAAACCCTTGTGGGTGCCCCTAGAGCTCCCAAATGGCAGCCTTGTGGGGGGCTGGGCTGGGGTGAAGTGATCTTCCGCCCCCTCCCCTCAAGCCCAACCCAGCCCAGGTTTCCGGCCCAGCGGTTACCACTTGCCCAACCACACTCACCCAAACGTTCTCAACCGTTCTATGTTCAATCCAAATCCCTTACCTCCTGGCATTCCACATTTGCGGATCAAATTATCCCGCATCAAACCCAAATCCACCACACCGCATCTGACCGCATTTGGTGGGCAATCTCCGCCTGGCTCAGTTACAGAACGAAAACGGCTAGCAGGAGCTGGGGTTCGGGGCGGGGTGGAGCTGGTTTGCGGAGCTTGGTTGGGAGAGGACAAGGTTGTGGGGTTGGGGGCTAGTCGCGTGCCCTGCAAGTCCACCGTAGCAGATGCTTCCTCCTTCCCCCACCCCAACAAATCACACTAACATTGCAGAGGGCAAAACCCAGGGCCCACATGCAGGAATGAGATTTGCTGCAAAATAGTAATCTGGTGAAGGAATCAGATCTGGAGGACGCTGGTACTACTTCACCTTGCTTAGAAATAATGTGCTCTTGTCGCTGTGATTGAGCGTGGATACCACTAGTGTTTTTCTCGTGGTTTCTCACGCGCTCCGAGTCGCCCAGCAAGCATTTCTGTTCGCATTTCTGTTCTTCTCCAATCATGACAGTGCTTCACTTACTTCGGCAATCCCAAGGAACATCTCAGGTCGCTCTCTCACCAACAGATTTCCGCATCATCGCCGCCAGCAGAGGAGCTGTATCTGCGCTTGGCGCTTGCTGCGAAAATAAGCTCAAGTCGCTCCAATTTACCGACATTTTCCTCGGAGATCCCAAGGGAAAACCTGGGGAGGCAGAAACTGCAAACACTAATAGAAGCAAATCGAAGGGGAGCTTCAGCTTCAGTTGGACTGAAGTTGTCAATCAGCTGCTCTCAAAGGAAGAGAAATATATTACGCTTGAAGGGAAACTCGCCTTGCCAACTGACACTCAAATTTGTCAGTGCATTGGTACTGCTACAACGACCACTGCTCCTTTGCTAAATCGTGGAGCCGCGGGTTCTAGTGCTGCCACTAATTGCACTGGAAAACATGATGCTGGCGTTTTTTTTAAGAAGAAAGAGGCAGTGGATGAAGCCTCGTTTGAGAAGGCTCCGCTTCCCGTTAAAGTCACTTTGGAGCTCCTACAAGTCGAAGATAGGACTCATACCATTGCTACTGATTCTGCTCCGACGCCTCATGGCGGCACAGCCTGTCAGCTGGGTCCTGAAAGCCTTCTAGTTGCCAGTTTTCGTCCGAAGACCCATGGGGAGCTAAGTTTAGAGGTAAACGTTCATCCCTGTTTTCCCGGCTTTAAAGTGAAGCTAAATACATGAGATGCGTTCAATCAGAGGCGACAAATTCTAGTCTTCAGGATGTGTAAACGTGTGGCCAGGTGTGTGCGTGTGTGTGTGTGTGTGTGTGTGTGTGGGTGTGTGTGTGTGGGTGTGGAGTGGGTGTGTGGGTGTGTTTGTGTGAGTGTGTGTGTGTGTGTGTGTGTGTGTGCGTGTGCGTGTGTGTGTGTGTGTGTTTGTGTGTGTGTTGGTGTGTGTTGGTGCGTGTGTGTTGTGTGTGTGTGTGAGTGTGTGTGTGTGTGTGTGTGTGTGTGTTCGTGTGTGTGTGTGTGTATGGTGCGTGTGTGTGTATGTGTGTGGTGCGCGTGTGTGTGTGCGTATGTGTGTGTGTGTGTTGGTGTGTGTATACTCTTCTTGTCCGGCTCCCTTTCTCCCTGAGACCGCCTCTCTCATCTCCTTCTCACGTACTCATCCACACACCCGTCCTCTCCTCCTCCCTCTTTTTTCTTTCCTGCCCCAACTTTCCAGACCCAACAATCTGCTACCAACAAAGCCACAGCACACCTTGTCTCCGCTCTAAATCAAGCAATCCAGACCGTATGCCGTCTCAGTAAAGGCACCTCCTCATATACCATTCAACCTGCCGCATCTCCTGCCATCACAACCAGTGGTAATGTTCCCCATTCCGCACCAGCGGCTACTATCACCACCATCACAGCCACTGCTGCAGCTACCCCTGGCGATCCCAGTCTCTTCTCCCCCAGTTGCCACCTCCCCTTGGAAGAGCTGTCCAAATGGGGGCAAAAGCTGGTTCAAGAGATGCAGGTTGCTTGTGGGGAGGCTTTTGATGTTGCTGAAGAAATAGCAGGCGGGAGGGAGGGGCGAACGGGTGAGGAAGGAAGCAGCGCAGGGGAGGCAGCAGATGTAGAGGGAGGGGAAGAAGCAGCAGGCGCAGCAGGAGCAGAAGAAGAAGAAGGAGAGAGAGCAGTAGGAGCAGGAATAGCAGGAGCAGGCGCAGGAGCAAGGGAAGAAGCGGCAGGATCTGGAGCAGCATCAGCAGCAGGAGCAGGAGTGGCAGAAAAAGGAGCAGCAACAGGAGCAGCTGCAGAAGCAGCAGGAGCAGGAGCAACAGCAACTCGACAAGATGAGCAACCTTATGCAGCAGTTGCTGCAGGAGAAAGTGTCAGGGCGATGCAAGGAGGGGCGGCGGACGCGGAGCCTGGTGCAGCAGCAGCATGTATAGAGGCACCTTATAGCGAAGCACATGGTGTTGCTGCCGCTGCAGGTGGTGGTGTTAGTGCTGATGGTGTGGTTCGATGGGCGAGCAACGCAGCGGGAAGGCTAGAAGAGACACTGCAGGAGTATGGGCTTTTCAGGGGCATTTACGAGAGATCCAAGGTGATCTCACATCTTTTCGGTTCAAGGATTAAGAATATGCTGGACGATATGGGTTGTTGAAAAGGATTTATGAGAGATCCATGGTGATTCTAACTTTCTGGCCCAACTAAAAAGCACAAGTGACACCCTCACCCTCATCCTCACCCTCACAGGTGTCTAAAGGCGATTGTCTCCCCATCCCCACCCTCCCGCCCCATCCCCCCACTGCCACACCTCCGTATCCCCCCTACACCAGGATCCGATAGTGGTATACAGCATGAGCCACCAGCTTCTCGACTGCAACCCAGCAGCCCTGCTCCTCCTCCGCTACCCCTCCAAAGCGGCGCTTCAGCACGCCGTTGCCCTCGGCTGCTCCTCCCCTCCGCTCTCCCCCGAGTTCCAGCCGGATGGGGAGAGGTCTGAGGAGAAAGCGGCGAGGGTGGGGCGGGAGGTGGCGGAGAGAGGGGAGGTGGTGGTGCCGTGGACTTACAGGAGGAGGGACGGGGAGCTCCTGCCCCTTCGGATCCACTACCAGGTAAAGTCCCACAGCACAAGCCACGATCGCACGCGTACAGAGGTGGTAGGCTGTTGTTGCCCTGGGGTGCTCCCCTCCCCCCCGCTCTCCCCCGAGTTCCAGCCGGACGGGGAGAGGTCTGAGGAGAAAGGGGCGAGGGTGGGGCGGGAGGTGGCGGAGAGAGGGGAGGTGGTGGTGCCGTGGACTTGCAGGAAGCGAGACGGGGAGCTGTTGCCCCTTCGGATTCACTACCAGGTAGTGTGTAACGCTCCTATGACTGAAGGGCGTGCAGGAGGTGGCGGAGAGAGGCGAGGTGGTGGTGCCGTGGATTTACGTGAAGCGAGATGGGCAGCGTCGGCCCCTTCGGATCCATTACCAGGTAAATTTCTACAGTCCGCTGCACATATCGGGCCCTGACAGTGGCGACTGGCTGTTGCTCTGGAGTGCGTTGAGGTCGTTTTTGAGGCGCCTCAAAAACGACTTGTTGCTCTGGAGTGCGCCTCTCCCCCTCTCTCTCCCAAGTTCCAGGCGAAAGGCGAGAGGTCTCTTTTCCTCCCCCAAGCACCTTCCAGGCGTCCCTCTGTCTCTCGCTCGAGCATCTTCCACTCCCTCCTCCCCACTCTCCCTTCCTCCCTTTCCCCTCCCCTTCGCCCCCACGCTCCCTCCTCCCCACTCTCTAACCTCCCCTTCGCCCCCACGCTCCCTCCTCCCCACTCTCTAACCTCCCCTTCGCCCCACGCTCCCTCCTCCCCACTCTCCCTTCGTCCCTTTGGCCCCCTCCTTCGCCCCCATGCTCCCTCCTCCCCGCTATCAGCTCATGTGTGTGGGCGGGGACAGTGTGTTTGTGGGCACGTGGCACAACCTGACAGAGACGCAGCGGCAGGAGGAGCAGCTGCAGCCTTCCTAATGTCTCACCTCTCCACCTCCCCCACTCGCCTTCCCCCCCACTCTTACTCAGCTCATGCGTGTGGGAGCAGACAGTGTGTTTGTGGGCACGTGGCACGACCTCACAGAGACACTGAGGCAGGAGGAGCAGCTGCGGTGAGCCAAGAAGGCTGCTGCATCATGTCTTACCTGTCCCCCTCCCTGCTCCCAACCTGCTGCTTTCTCTGTAATAGCTCATGCGTGTGGGGGCGGACAGCGTGTTTGTGGGCACGTGGCACGACCTGACAGAAACACTGAGGCAGGAGGAGCAGCTGCGGCAAGCCAAGGAGTTTGGAGGCTCCTCAAAGCAAACCCAGGAGCATCATCCCCTTCCCCCCACCTCTCCACCCTCTCCCCGCCCCCCTCCCCCCTCCCCCTCTTCCTTCCCTCCTTCCCCTTCGCACAGCTCATGCGTGTGGGCGCAGACAGTGTGTTTGTGGGCACGTGGCACGACCTGACAGAGACGCTGCGGCAGGAGGAGCAACTGCGGAAGGCCAAGGAAGTGGCAGAGGCGGCGAGCGAGGCAAAGAGCATCTTCCTGGCCAACATGAGCCACGAGATCCGCACGCCCATGAATGGTGCGTGCGTGGGTAGCTGTGGTGCAGGAGAGGAGAGCCTATTGGTGGAGAATGGTAGGTTCATCTGGGAATGAATGATGCAGCGAGCGAGGCAAAGAGCATCTTCCTGGCAAACATGAGCCACGAGATCCGCACCCCCATGAATGGTGAGGGGGCTGCGTGCACGCCTGAGTGCATGTTGTGCATGTGCGTGCATGCAAAGTGTGCCAAGGAGACAGCAGAGGCGGCGGGCGAGGCAAAGAGCATCTTCCGGGCAAACATGAGCCACGAGATTCGAACCCCCATGATTGGTGCGTTCTGGGTGGGGCCCTATGCATGTATATGTGCTTGCTGGCTATTCGTGAGCTCGTGCATGCGTGCATGGTGTGGGGGGCTATTCGTGAGCTCGTGCATGCGTGCATGGTGTGGGGGGCTATTCGTGAGCTCGTGCCTGCGTGCATGGTGTGGGGGGCTATTCGTGAGCTCGTGCCTGCGTGCATGGTGTGGGGGGCTATTCGTGAGCTCGTGCCTGCGTGCATGGTGTGGGGGGCTATTCGTGAGCTCGTGCATGCGTGCATGGTGTGGGGGGCTATTCGTGAGCTCGTGCCTGCGTGCATGGTGTGGGGGGCTATTCGTGAGCTCGTGCCTGCGTGCATGGTGTGGGGGGCTATTCGTGAGCTCGTGCCTGCGTGCATGGTGTGGGGGGCTATTCGTGAGCTCGTGCATGCGTGCATGGTGTGGGGGGCTATTCGTGAGCTCGTGCCTGCGTGCATGGTGTGGGGGGCTATTCGTGAGCTCGTGCCTGCGTGCATGGTGTGGGGGGCTATTCGTGAGCTCGTGCCTGCGTGCATGGTGTGGGGGGCTATTCGTGAGCTCGTGCCTGCGTGCATGGTGTGGGGGGCTATTCGTGAGCTCGTGCCTGCGTGCATGGTGTGGGGGGCTATTCGTGAGCTCGTGCATGCGTGCATGGTGTGGGGGGCTATTCGTGAGCTCGTGCCTGCGTGCTTGGTGTGGGGGGCTATTCGTGAGCTCGTGCCTGCGTGCATGGTGTGGGGGGCTATTCGTGAGCTCGTGCATGCGTGCATGGTGTGGGGGGCTATTCGTGAGCTCGTGCCTGCGTGCATGGTGTGGGGGGCTATTCGTGAGCTCGTGCCTGCGTGCTTGGTGTGGGGGGCTATTCGTGAGCTCGTGCCTGCGTGCATGGTGTGGGGGGCTATTCGTGAGCTCGTGCATGCGTGCATGGTGTGGGGGGCTATTCGTGAGCTCGTGCATGCGTGCATGGTGTGGGGGGCTATTCGTGAGCTCGTGCCTGCGTGCATGGTGTGGGGGGCTATTCGTGAGCTCGTGCCTGCGTGCTTGGTGTGGGGGGCTATTCGTGAGCTCGTGCCTGCGTGCATGGTGTGGGGGGCTATTCGTGAGCTCGTGCATGCGTGCATGGTGTGGGGGGCTATTCGTGAGCTCGTGCCTGCGTGCATGGTGTGGGGGGCTATTCGTGAGCTCGTGCCTGCGTGCATGGTGTGGGGGGCTATTCGTGAGCTCGTGCCTGCGTGCATGGTGTGGGGGGCTATTCGTGAGCTCGTGCATGGTGTGGGGGGCTATTCGTGAGCTCGTGCCTGCGTGCATGGTGTGGGGGGCTATTCGTGAGCTCGTGCCTGCGTGCATGGTGTGGGGGGCTATTCGTGAGCTCGTGCATGCGTGCATGGTGTGGGGGGCTATTCGTGAGCTCGTGCCTGCGTGCATGGTGTGGGGGGCTATTCGTGAGCTCGTGCCTGCGTGCATGGTGTGGGGGGCTATTCGTGAGCTCGTGCATGCGTGCATGGTGTGGGGGGCTATTCGTGAGCTCGTGCCTGCGTGCATGGTGTGGGGGGCTATTCGTGAGCTCGTGCCTGCGTGCATGGTGTGGGGGGCTATTCGTGAGCTCGTGCCTGCGTGCTTGGTGTGGGGGGCTATTCGTGAGCTCGTGCCTGCGTGCATGGTGTGGGGGGCTATTCGTGAGCTCGTGCCTGCGTGCATGGTGTGGGGGGCTATTCGTGAGCTCGTGCCTGCGTGCATGGTGTGGGGGGCTATTCGTGAGCTCGTGCCTGCGTGCATGGTGTGGGGGGCTATTCGTGAGCTCGTGCCTGCGTGCATGGTGTGGGGGGCTATTCGTGAGCTCGTGCCTGCGTGCATGGTGTGGGGGGCTATTCGTGAGCTCGTGCATGCGTGCATGGTGTGGGGGGCTATTCGTGAGCTCGTGCATGCGTGCATGGTGTGGGGGGCTATTCGTGAGCTCGTGCCTGCGTGCATGGTGTGGGGGGCTATTCGTGAGCTCGTGCCTGCGTGCTTGGTGTGGGGGGCTATTCGTGAGCTCGTGCCTGCGTGCATGGTGTGGGGGGCTATTTGTGAGCTCGTGCCTGCGTGCATGGTGTGGGGGGCTATTCGTGAGCTCGTGCCTGCGTGCTTGGTGTGGGGGGCTATTCGTGAGCTCGTGCCTGCGTGCATGGTGTGGGGGGCTATTCGTGAGCTCGTGCCTGCGTGCATGGTGTGGGGGGCTATTCGTGAGCGCTTGGGACGGCTCAAGAGGCGGCGGGCCAAGGAGGCTGCAGAGGCGGCGAGAAAGGCAAGGGGCATCTTCCCATTTCAATGCGGCAAGCATGAGCCCATTTCGCGTGTAGTGAGGTGCATTTTGAGGCGCCTCAAAAGGAGGCTGCAGAGGCGGCGAGCAAGGCAAGGGGCATCTTCCTGGCAAGCATGAGTCCATTTCATTCCCACACACACACACAAGACAGCAACCCTCCACCACTCTCTCCGTCCTTTCCCCCCCTCCCCTCCCCTTGCACCACACACACACCAGGCGTGGTGGGGGTGGCGGAACTGCTACTCGATACCCCACTAACAGAGGAGCAGCGCTCCTACCTCAACATCATCCGCACGTCAGGGGACAACCTGCTGCGGATCACCTCCGACTTGCGTGTGTGTCTGAGTGAACTGTGTCTCTTTCTCTCCTCCCCCATCCCCTACCAGGCGTGGTGGGCGTAGCAGAGCTGGTGCTGGATACCCCACTAACAGAGGAGCAGCGCTCCTACCTCGACATCATCCGCACGTCAGGGGACAACCTGCTGCGGATCACCTCCGACTTGCGTGTGTTTCTGAGTGTACTGTGTCTCTTTCTCTCATCCCCCATCCCCTACCAGGCGTGGTGGGCGTAGCAGAGCTGGTGCTGGATACCCCACTAACAGAGGAGCAGCGCTCCTACCTCGACATCATCCGCACGTCAGGGGACAACCTGCTGCGGATCACCTCCGACTTGCGTGTGTTTCTGAGTGTACTGTGTCTCTTTCTCTCATCCCCCATCCCCTACCAGGCGTGGTGGGCGTAGCAGAGCTGCTGCTGGATACCCCACTAACAGAGGAGCAGCGCTCCTACCTCGACATCATCCGCACGTCAGGGGACAACCTGCTGCGGATCACCTCCGACTTGCGTGTGTTTCTGAGTGTACTGTGTCTCTTTCTCTCATCCCCCATCCCCTACCAGGCGTGGTGGGCGTAGCAGAGCTGCTGCTGGATACCCCACTAACAGAGGAGCAGCGCTCCTACCTCGACATCATCCGCACGTCAGGGGACAACCTGCTGCGGATCATCTCAGACGTGTTGGACCTCTCCAAGATCGAGAGCCAGTCGCTGCCTCTGGAGGACGTGCCCTTCTGCCTTGCTACATGTGTGAAGGAAGCCACTGCTTTACTGTCTGTCGCTGCAGCGGACAAGGGCTTGAACGTGAGTAGCAGGAGGAGCTACTAGGGGTGTTGAGTGCGGTGTAGAGGGTTGGGGTTGAGGGGCCTTGGTGAGAGTGCACGTCAGGGGACAACCTGCTGCGGATCATCTCAGACGTGTTGGACCTCTCCAAGATCGAGAGCCAGTCGCTGCCTCTGGAGGACGTGCCCTTCTGCCTCGCTACATGCGTGAAGGAAGCCACTGCTTTACTCTCGGTTGCTGCAGCCGACAAGGGCTTGCAGGTGAGGGCAGAGGGTCGGTGTTGAGGGGGCGTTGTGTTTGTGTGGGTGCACGTCAGGAGACAATCTCCTTGGGATCATCTCAGCTTTTGAGGCGCCTCAAAAGGCGTTGTGTTTGTGTGGGTGCACGGCACGTCAGGAGACAATCTCCTTCGGATCATCTCAGACGTGCTCGACCTCTCCAAGCTCGGGAGCCTTGAGGTCGTTTTTGAGGCGCCTCAATAACGACCTCAGCAGACGTGCTCGACCTCTCCAAGCTCGGGAGCCAATCACTGCGTCTGGAGCTTGGAGAGGTACTTTTCTGCCTCGCCACGTGCATGAAGGAGGCGACTGCTTTACTCTCGGTTGCTGCAGCGGACAAGGGCTTGCAGGTGAGCCGTGAAAGGAGTGGTTGAGGGCAATAAGGAGTGCTGGATCTCTCCATGATCGAGTCGAGAGCCAGTCATTGCCTCTGGAGGACGTGCCCTTCTGCCTTGCCACCTGTGTGAGGGAAGCCACTTCCCTGCTGTTCGTTGCTGCAGCAGACAAGGGCTTGCGGCTTGCAGGTGAGTGCCATGCCAAGAAGGGCTGATGGCAATATTGAGCGTGGTGGTGTTGAGCTGAACAGTTGCATCGACTCAGACGTGCCTCACTTCATCTCTCGTGCAACCTTCCCACCTCTGACCTGTTCCCCTCCTCCCTCCGTATCCCTCTCTCCCTCCTCTCTCTCCACACCATCTTCCCCCCTCCCCCATCCTGCCCCTCTTTCCCGACAGCTGGACAGCCACATCAACTCAGACGTGCCTTGCTTCATTCGAGGAGATCCAGGGAGGCTGCGGCAAATTATTCTGAACCTCGTGTCCAACGCGATCAAGTTCACACAGACGTGAGTGCATGATTGATTCGGATGTGCAACATCATACAGGTAAAAACCAGATTTAGATTTTATTTTTATTTTTTATTTTATTTTTTACTCAGACTTTCTTGATCCTTTTCATGGCTGCTTACTTTTCCTGCGTTGCAAACAGGAGGTGCTCGCCGCTAATCCCTTTCCCTCATCTCTTAATTTCCTCCTGTTGTTCCCACTTGTTACGCAGCAGTGGGGAGGTGCGAGTATCAATTCGGTAATCTACTGAGGAAGAGATACAGCAAGTTCTAGCTGCAAGAGGAGCTGCTACTGCTGCTGCCACTCTCGTTGCTCCTCTGATCTCATAGTCTTTTTTTTTTGTTCCCGATTGCTACGTGGATGGCAGTGGGGAGGTGCGAGTATCAATTCGGCAATCTACCAACGAGGAGATACAGCAAGTTCTAGCTGCAAGAGGAGCTGCTACTGCTGCTGCCACTCTCGTTGCTAACGCTGGTGACTCTGCTGCTGATGGTGCTGGTGCTGATGCTACTGCCTCTCCTGATACCAATGCTGCCTCTGCTGCTGCTGGTGCGGCTGCTATGGGAGTGGAGGGAGGTGAGGGAGAGGAGAGCGTGAAAAGGAGTGAGGTGGGGAAGGGAGTAAAAGAGAGTATGGTTGGTTGCTTGGAGGGTTTAGCGAAACGGGGCTATGAGTCCAGAGGAGGGTATGAGTCAAGAGGAGGGTATGAGTCAAGAGCGACGGGCAAAGGGAACGCCGCAGAGGAAGGAAAGGGGGGAAAGAGGGTCAGATTTGACACGCTTGATTCAGAATGTGGTGGGAAACGGGTGAAGTCTTGTGAGTCGATGCATGAGACAGGAGGAACTGACGTTAGGAGTGAATGTGGGCTGCAGCAGCACCAACCACCAGTGCAACAGCAGCAGCATTCAACATCACCACCGCAACAGCAGCAACAGCAGCAGCAGCAACAACAGCAATCACCACAGCAGCAGCAGCAACAGCAGCAGCAGCAGCAGCAGCAATCACCACAGCAGCAGCAGCAACAGCAGCAGCATTCAACATCACCACCGCAGCAGCAGCAGCATTCAACATCACCACCACAGCAGCAGCAGCAGCGAGCATGGCTGACATTCAGTGTCTCAGACACAGGCGTGGGAATCAGCAAAGACGCATCGGACCGACTCTTCCGAGCCTTCATGCAGGGGGACCCCTCCATCTCCCGCCGCTACGGTGGCACCGGGCTTGGACTTGCCATCTCCAAATCCCTCGTTAGCCTCATGGGCGGCGACATTCGTCTGACTAGCGCGGTCGGCGTCGGGTCGACGTTTTCGTTCACGATAAATGCCGCGGTGTCGTCGGCTGCACGGTGTGCGCTTAAGGAAGACTCTTTGCTAAGAGACGGGATGCTGCACCCGTTTGAGGGCATGCCTGAAACGGGTGTGAGGTGCACGCTGAGTGGTTCTGCGGCTGGCGCTGCTGCTGCTGCTGCTGCTGGTGGTTTTGCTGGTGCTGGGGATGGGGCTGAAAGGAGCACAAATCTACCCGCAGGTGCCAGTACCAGCTACCACCACCACCACCACCCACTTGCACTGCACCAGGCTTTGAGCAAATCTGCAACACTCGGAGGGTCTGTGAGTGATAGGAGAGAAGGAGGAGCAGGCGCGTGTGTACCATGTGAGGGAGGGGCTTCAGCTGTAGCAAAGGCTGCTGGTACCGACTTTCCAGGTATGCTTATACAAAAGGGGTTCATGGCACCTCATTCAGGAGAAGTAGCAGCAGAAGCAGCAGCAGCGGCAGCAGCGGCAGAAGCGGCAGCAGCGGCAGCAGAAACCCAAGGGAATTTATTCAGGTATGGAGCTTCGACTTTGGTCGGAGTAGCCCCTATTGAGGAAAAGACGAAGGTACATCAGCAGCAACAGCACAGTACCACGTTGCATGTACCAGGAGTCTCCTTTCCCAAAGTTGGCCCAAACAAGCGGCAGAGCTGGTGCAGTGCGGGCAAACAGGGTGACAGAGAGGACGAGCCGTTTGCGACAACTTGCTACGAAGGTGGCGGGAGCAAGGGAGGAGCAAGGGATGGTTCTGCTAGGGATGAACAGCAGGAGGAAAGGTGGCGAGGGGGGATGGAAGAGAAAGTGAGACAGGAGGTGGCAGAGGAGCGGAGAGGGAAGGGAGAAGAGGAGAGGAGGCAGAGTGGGATGGGGGAGGAGAGGAGGAGGAGGGAGGAAGAGGAGGAGAGGCGGCAGAGGGAGGTGGAGGGGGAGAGGAAGCAGCGGCGGCGGGGGCTGGCGTGTCTGATAGCAGAGGACAACGCAGTGAACCAGATGGTCATTGAGAGGATGCTGAGAAGCCTTGGGGTCGTCAGTGACGTTGCTTCCAACGGGGCTGAGGCAGTACGGGCATGCGAGGGCAAGGAGTACGACGTGGTCTTCATGGTGGGTTGTTTCGTTTCGTTTTGTTCTGTTTTTTTTTGTTTTTTTTTGTTTTTTTTTTTTGGTTATAATGAGAGTGATGCTGGCATTTTATGACTTCAACTGATGAATCACTTCCTCTCCTCCTCCTCCTCTTCCTCCTCCTCTTCCTCCTCCTCCTTTCTCCTCCTCCTCCTCCTCTTCCTCCTCCTCCTCTTCCTCCTCCTCCTCCCTCCTCCTCCTCCTCCTCTTCCTCCTCCTCCTCCTCCTCCTCCTCCTCCTCCTCCTCCTCCTCCTCCTCCTCCTCCTCCTCCTCCCTCCTCCTCATCCTCCTCCTCCTCCTCCTCCTCCTCCTCCTCCTCCTCCTCCTCCTCCTCCTCCTCCTCCTCCTCCTCCTCCTCCTCCTCCTCCTCCTCCTCCCTCCTCCTCATCCTCCTCCTCCTCCTCCTCCTCCTCCTCCTCCTCCTCCTCCTCCTCCTCCTCCTCCTCCTCCGCCTCCTCCTCCTCCTCCTCCTCCTCCTCCTCCTCCTCCTCCTCCTCCTCCTCCTCCTCCTCCTCCTCCTCCGCCTCCTCCTCCTCCTACTCCTCCTCCTCCTCCTCCTCCTCCTCCTCCTCCTCCTCCTCCTCCTCCTCCTCCTCCTCCTCCTCCTCCTCCACCTCCTCCTCCTCCTCCTCCCCCTCCTCCTCATCCTCACCCTCCTTCTCACCTCACCCGCCTCATTTTCCTCCCCTTTCCTAAGCCCAATCCTGCTTCCCCTCTTCTCCCCACCGTCCCCTCCCTCCCATCAATCTCAACCGTTCAGGACTGCCACATGCCGGTGATGGACGGCTTTGAGGCCACTGAGAAGATCCGACGGCTGTACTTGAACCGAGCTCGAGGCAGGAGGAAGGAAAGGGAGAAGGTGGAGGGGGATGAGAAACCAAGGGAGAAAGAAGAGCAAGAGGAGCAAGAGGAACAAGAGGAGCAGGCGAAGCAAGAGGAGATGGAAAGGGCTTGTTTTGAAACACCTGTTGCACCAGCACAAACGCCTGCCCCTTCAATAGTGTCACCGCCACCACCACCACCGCAGCCAACATCACTATCACCACCACTACCCCCATCGCTGTCACCACAACAACCATCACTATCATCACCGCAACCACCACCATCACCACTATCGCCATCATCTGAGACTCAAGGGTCGCTACGTCGGCCATACATTGTTGCCCTCACTGCCAGTGCTCTGCTGCACGAACGACTGCGGTGCACTCAGGTAACGTGCGGTGCAATCAGGTAACACGCGATGCACGTTTCCTCCTCCTGCTTGTCAGGTTGGTATGGACCACTTCCTGACAAAACATGTAAGGCTTAACGAGAATTGAGTATTCTCTCATGTCAACCCAGTACCTTTCCCTTTCTTCCTGTTTCAGGTCGGCATGGACCACTTCCTGACAAAGCCCGTGAGGCCAAGGGAGCTGTGAGAAATCTCAAAAGTCAACCCAGTACCTTTCCCTTGTTACCTCCTCCTGTCTTTCAGGTCGGCATGGACCCCTTCCTGACGAAACCTGTGAGGCCAAGCTAGCTGTGAGAGATCTCAAAAGTCAATGCTATGCCCTTCTATCTCTCCCTTCTGTCTTTCAGGTCGGCATGGATCACTTCCTGACGAAGCCCGTGAGGCCAAGCGAGCTGGAAACGCTGCTGCGGCATGTGGAGCAGAGAGGGGTGATGCTCCAGCAGGAGGTGGTGCGGGGGAGAGAAGACGCAGAGGCTTTAAGTGCTAGGGGAGAGAACCGAGAGGATATGGTGGAGCAGAGAGGGGCGATGCTCCAGCAGGAGGTTGTGCGGGGGAGAGAAGTCACAGAGGCTTTAAGTGCTAGGGGAGAGAACCGAGAGGATATGGTGGAGCAGAGAGGGGTGATGCTCCAGCAGGAGGTGGTGCGGGGGAGAGAAGAGTCAGCGATGCTGAGAGGTGAGGGAGAGAGGGAGAACAGAGTGACGAGGGAGGAGAGGAAGGAGAGGGAGGAAAGGGCGGAGGGGTTGGAGAGGGAGGAAAGGGAGGAGGGGTTGGAGAGGGAGGAAAGGGAGGAGGGGTTGGAGAGGGAAGAAAGGGAGGAGGGGTTGGAGAGGGAAGAAAGGGAGGAGGGGTTGGAGAGGGAGGAAAGGGAGGAGGGGTTGGAGAGGGAGGAGAGGGAGGATATAATTGCTGCACGATGTCAGGATGGTGTGGTGGAGGAGGCTGAGCTGGCACATAGCGGCGGGTTGCTGGATGCTGAGCTGGCACATAGCGGCGGGTTGCTGGATGCTGAGCTGGCACATAGTCCGGAGGACATGCCGCCACTGTCAAACAGCCGAGAGAAGGACGAGGAGGAAGGGGCGGGGCGGAGGGCCATGTCAGAAAGGTGGATGCGAGGCTTGCTGACAAAGAGGCACGTGGAGGAGGAGCTTATTAATGAGGAGCTCACAAAGGAGGATGCGGCTGACAATCATCATCCACCTGCACGTGCTGACGCACATGCTGATGCACATATTCCATCACCACCACCACCACCACCGGTGGCTCGTTACAGCCAGAAAAGAGTTGCAGACTCGTTAGATCACACCACCACCACCACCACCACCACCACCACCACCGCTGCGAAAGATCAGGGTAGGCTAGGAAGAAGTGGCGGTGGGCTTAAGAAGAAAAGGATGGACAGGGATGGGGAAAGCGTTGCAGGGGACATAAGCAAAGAAAGTTGTAGGAAATAGTTCAACGTCAGCAGTAATTGAAGTAGTTGTCACCGAATGTGTGCCCGTCTGTGGATATTACAGAATTGCTCAATAAGCATTTCAATTTAAGAAATGTAAGTGCATGGTGTGCACTTGTGGTATAGTTTTGTATCACATAATAATATTTATTTTCAATTTCTTAATTCGGAAAGACGGTGAAGTTCCAAAAGGAGACGAGCACGTACAGAAAAAGGCCGTACTCCCCACCACCCATAACCTACTTGACTGAGATTTCGAACCGCGTTTTCGCAAATTGAAACGCTTATTACCGTGTTTCAAGGTCAGCGGAAACTTTCCTTGGCGAAACCTACGGAAGCTCAGCCAATCATCTTGGTCTGATGGGCGCAGATAATGTGGTTTGCCGATGCCCGGCCCGCCACGCCAATTGCCCCACCGGCATCTGCTCGAATTGAAATGAGAACTGCAGGTGGATGTGCGGATTTATTCGAATCGCGCACATCAATGCCCCCCATCTCAATGTGCAGATGCAAAACGGACGGTCTGTAGGGGAAGTGGTTGGGACGGACATTTCCCACAAAACAAAAATGTGGTTGGGTTGGAGAATGCAAACTGGATTGGATGTTTTACTCTCTTCGCTGTAGCTTCACCCCATAGCTTCTCTCCTCTGTCAGCTTGCGGCTTGCGTTACGACGATGCGAGCTGCCGGCAGTTACGACTGGTTTTTGGTTACCTAGACTGGCTAATGTTGCCGGTAGGAGAGAAGCACGGTCGGGTTACAGGCCGGTGCCAGGGCTGGGCCCAGGGACCGGCGGGGGCTATTATCCATTGTGAATATCCTTTCTATCAGCAGGAGAAGGAGCAGCAAAGCAGGAGCAATTTGCCGAATGAAATACAGTCAGAGCACCTTTCCACCTTTCGTTCCAGTAGAAGTCCACGCCCCTAGGCCGTTCTTTCTCCGTCACCTCGCTCTTATTCTCGTACACCAAATCTACCGCCGCATCAGACGCTCAACGGGTTTTGTGCAAGTGCGCTCGCCAATATACACCCGCCAAATCGACGACCACGGCCTGATTTTCCAGTCTACTCAAATATCCAAGATTGCCCGCCGATACGACTAGTACCACAGCCTTGATACGACCCGCCTTCAAAAGAACTACCACCCAGCAGCGCACCCATTAGAGGCTCCTCACCTATTAGAGGTTCCTCACCGCAAAAAGAACAGGTTATTTTCCTCACAAGTTCGCAATAGCCGTAGTACTGTATCCGCGTTGAAGTATGGGGCATTACTGCGAAAAACCGTCCCGTTTCCCCTTCCTGCTCTCCCACTTCACGTGCTCCGCTCTAGGGGTCCTCCTTTTAATCGTCTACTTCGCAACCCTTGGCCCGCCGTTAAAGCTTGTTCCACGAGCCACCCAGCCCTTCGTTTCCGCCCCTTCCGCCTTCCCGTCCGTCCATGTAACTGAAGCTACGGAGGCGGACGGGCAGTGGTTGGCAACGAGTGTGCAAGTAACGGTCGTGCGGACAAAACGGGAAGCGGGGGCCTCGATTGGCAAAGAGAAGTACGGAGAGAATGACAATACGCAGCAGGGCAATGATGATAATACCCTGCAGGGCGATGAAGATACGCAGCAGTGGGATGAAGATCCGCAGCAGAAGAAATCGGTGCAGCTGGCGCAACTGGCTCCGGAGGCGCAATGGGAGCAGGAGCTGTGGCCAAAACGGGAAGCCGGGGCGTTGAGTGGGAACGAGAAGTATGGAGACCTTACGAATCAGGACCGAGATGATGATACGCAGCAGGGCGACGAATATACGCAGCAGAAGAAATCGGTGCAGCTGGCGAGGGAGGCGCAATGGGTGACGGAACAGGAGCTGTTGCATGAGGAAGAAATGCAGGATCTTCGGAAGCAGGAGCAGCGCGCGCAGGAGCAGGGTTCGCCGCAACAGGAGCAGCGCGCGCAGCAACAGGAGCAGCGTGCGCAGCAACAGGAGCAGCGTGCGCAGCAACAGGAGCAGCGTGCGCAGCAACAGGAGCAGCTCACGCAGCAAAAGGAGCAGCGCGAGCAACAAAAGGAGCAGGAAGCGCAGCGAAAAGTGCAGCGTGCGCAGCAACAGGAGCAGCTCACGCAACAAAAGGAGCAGCGCGCTCAGCAAAAGAAGCAGGGAACTCAGCAGCAGCGCACGCAGCAAACCCAGCAGCAGGAACAAGAAGGCCCTCAGAAACAGGAGCAGCAGCAGGGGCAAACGAAACAGGATAGCACGGAACAAATCAAACCAAAGCGGAAACATCGGAAGAACGTCGATGTGCCCCCCAGCAGCAGCAGCACTCGCTTAGACACTTCCCATGCCGCCTCTCAAGGCGCTGTTGGCGGGGACAAACGGAAGCGCGCGGCCAGGGGGGGAAGGGACGCGGGTGGGAAAAGGGGCGGCGGAAGTGCTGGCAGGGGCGAGAAGCCCTCGGCTATGACGGGCGAGTCTGCTAGTAACACCACCGCGACGGCCACCACCCCCGCTGCTCTTGAGACGTCTCAAAAGTCGGATGAGGAAAGGGGCGGCGGTAGAGTTGGCAGGGGCGAGAAACCCACGGCTGCTACGGGCTCTGCTAGTAACACCACCGCGACGGCCACCCCCGCCGCTTCTCTTGACATCCCCGCCACGGCCGCCGCAAGAACATCTGGTGCGGCAGATTCACCTGGTGACATGGGGGCCTCCGCGAGCGTATCTGTGGAGGCTGCGTGCAAGGGGCGGGCGATTTACGTGTACCCGCTATCGGCGCACTTCAACCAGTGGATGGTGGACGACTGCTTGGAGAGTCGCATCAAGGGGTTCTGCCTCACCAGCCGGCATGGCGGGCTGGGAACGAGGCTCGCTTCCTGGGACGATGCGGTAGAAGGGGGCAGCCGCGGCAGCGGCAACAACTCGACTAGCGGCAGCGGCAGCGGAGGCAGCAGCAGCAGCAGCAGCAACGACGGCAGCGGCAACGGCAACGGCAGCAGCAGCGGCAGCGGCAGCGGCAGCGGTGGTGGGAGCAGTGGAGTGATTAGCGGTGCTGGTGGTGCGAGTGAGGGCTGGCGGAACCAGTGGTTTTTAACCGAGAGCGTCAATAACGAGGAAATTTTCCACTCGCGTCTCCTGCAGCACCCCTGCCGAACCTCGGACCCAGACTCGGCGGACTTCCTGTTCATCCCGGCGTACCTGGGCTGGTCGATCTGGTCGCTCGTGGAACACGGGCTCTTCGTAGATCGGGACCAGCCGGGAATCGAACTCGAGCGCTATCTTTTGGAAGAAAACCCAGATTTCAAGAGGCTAGTGGATCAAGGGAATCATGTGCTGGTGCTCGGCCGGCCAATTTGGGACTTCAGGAGGGTAAAAGAGTGGGGGTCGGATCTTTGGTGGCGACCGACCTTCAATAATGTCACACTGCTTACTGTAGAGGCCACACGGGAGTGGTACGGCAGAGAGGTGTTTTCTATTCCTTACCCGACATCGTTTCACCCTACAGGCTCGGCAGAGCTGCAGGGTTGGATGAATCACGCTCGGGACCACGCCCGGCCGTATTTGTACGCGTTTGTAGGCGGCAGGCGGGCTAAGGAGACGATAGAGGGTGCGCTGAGAGGAGCTCTACTGCAGGAATGCGAGAACGAACCAGAGAAATGCTTACTTATGGAATGTTACAGTGCCGATGCGGAGGCAGTAACTGAAGCAGCAGCCGAGATAGGCCGGCAATCGGCCAGTCGAAAAGCCAAGGCCGCAGCAGCAAGAGAAAAAGGAGAAGGAATAGCTGAAAGTCTTGAGGAGGAAGAGCCTAGGGTGGATCTTCCTGGGTGCACTGATCCGAGGAGGGTAGCTGGCGCGATGCTGCAGGCAGAGTTTTGCCTCCAGCCAGTGGGAGACAGCCAAACCCGCCGGTCCTTCTTTGACTCGATCATAGCAGGCTGCATACCTGTGGTGTTCTCTACCGATACTTTCGACAGTCAGTATCCGTGGTTCTTTGACCCGAAGCCGGAGGCACGGCGCAAGATTGCAGTCATGGTGGACCCAGAAGAGGTGATTTCGGGCAGAGTGAAGATTGGAGAGCTGCTGGGGAAGATATCGGTGGAAAGGAAAGATGAGATGAGACAAGAGATGCGGATTCATGTTCCAAGACTGTTGCTGAGAGACCATACAAGAGAGGGAGAGGTGGAAAAGGAGGGACTTTTTGAAGACATGGTTGACATGACTATTAATGGCTTGGTCGAGAGGAAAAAGATGAGAGAAGCTGGAACTGCCGGTGATTATTTCCCTTGGTTCAACAGCTAGTCAGTTCCCAGCATTTGTTTTTCACCTTTATTTTTAAATAAGGTGGGGTGAGGTTATTAGGCATTCTGATTTGTTGTTTTGTACTTAATTTTGTAGATGGGGGTAAATTATGCTTCTGTTAGGAAAAGTAGGATCTGTACTATATCCGCTAACGCGTCTTCGTATATGCTCGTTCTGACATGTTGTCAGGGTCACAAGTTGGGCAGACAAATGTTGTCGAATCGGGCGAACTCTCGTCGTCGGTATGGTACAGTAGTCAAGTCTAGCAGCAGGTCAGGCCACAATGCTGATGTATGGTACGGTCTGTAACAGTTCGCTCTTGCTCCCAGCTGCTTCGCAAAGGCTTCGCAGCACCTTACCGATTCGCTGACTGGCACTGTCTGTGTGCTATCCGTTGTCGTAAGCGCGCTGCGGGGACTGACCAGTCGAAAAGTCTGATTCGAAGGTTCTCCCTGAACCTCACATTACGGAACGGAAGGAATTCTCAAGGGGAGTCCCCCTCAACGCTGCTTTTCCTGGTAACCGTTGCAACAAAGCTCATTCCTTTATGAATCGTTGTGTGCCTCATCTTCCACCTCCTAGCCACAACCCGAGTTTTGCTTTGTAGCTGAGGAGGACAAAGTGTTGCGAGCGCATGAAGTCTGCCCAGTGCCGTAGCTGAAGTGGGCTCATCGTGAGACTCAGCTCGTACCATCAATTTGATCTCTTGCTGTACGGCCTTGATTTTCCTAGCTTCCATTCTTGCTTTCGTGCTTAAATTAGTTTCTCATTCGAAGACTGTGACACCAGCTACGTGACGCAGTTCATGATGGGACATCATCGAGATCGAGTCTCGACGCTGTGCTTCCCATCCTCCTCTGCCACTTGTTCTACAATCGGGGTGGTTCTGCTGGTCCTCTACTTCGTAGCTCTCGGGCCTTCGTTAAAGTCACCGATCTCGTCTTCGTCTTTTGATGCTAAGGAGCTGCACAGAACCACGGAGGTGTCGGATTCAGCCGTTCGTGGAGACGAGGTGGGAGCAAGATTGAGCGGACTGGACCCGGAGGAGTCATGGCCACAGAATCAGCGGGAACAGCAGAGCCAGCAGTATGAGCAGGGTGAGCAGGATGAGAAGAATCGGCAGGATCAGAAGGAGCAACAGAATATGGTGCAGGAAGCGCAGAATCACCAAGATGAGAAGGATCAACCGAATGAGCAGGATCGGACGGTGACACCTCGTTTGGAGACTCAAGAGGAACGGCAGAAGCGCGAACAAGAGCTTCTTCAGAACCTGGGAGGGAAAGACGATTCGGGAAGCTTAAAGGGCAGCATCAAAGGCACGAGAAGCACGAGGACGAAGACTAGTGCGTCGAAAAACGACGGCGACGCGCGGAATCCCCGTGCGAGTAGCAGTCGCAAAGGCGGGGGACTAAACTCGGAGGCGTGCGAGGGCCGGAAGGTATACGTGTACGATTTACCCTCGAAATTGAACAGCGTGCTGCTGGAGGACTGCCTGGACACCAACATCAAGGGTTTCTGCGCCACCAGCAGGCACGGCGGGCTGGGAACCAGACTGCCTCCCTGGGACGACTCGTTTGAGGAGAAGATTCCAGGGAGCCGTGCCAGCAGCAGCAGCGGCAGCGGCAGCGGCAGAAGTAGCAGCAGCAAAAAGATCAGCAAGGTGAAACCCGATGGTTCTCGACGGCTTCTTTCGATCAGCAGCAGCAGCAGCAGCAGCAGCAGCAGCAGCAGCAGTGTAGCGGAGAGCGAGGGTTGGAGAAACCAGTGGTATGCCACCGATAACTCCATGCTGGCGCTCATCTTCCACTCGCGACTCCTGAACCACCCCTGCCGAACCTCGGACCCAGGCTCGGCGGATTTCCTGTTCATCCCGGCGTACCTGGGCTGGTCGATCTGGTCGCTCGTGGAACACGGGCTGTTTGAGAAGCGAGATGATCCAGTGATTGAGCTGGAGAGGTATTTACTCGAGGAGAATGCGGATTTCAAGAGGCTGGTGAATCGTGGCGATCACGTGCTCGTTCTCGGCCGTCCGATCTGGGACTTTAAACGCGATTTGGATAAGCCTGAGGGATGGGGGACTGATCTGTGGTGGCGTCGAACCTTCAAGAATGTCACACTCCTTACAGTGGAGGCTCCTCCCGAGTGGTACGAACGGGAGGTGTTTTCTATTCCCTACCCGACCTGCTTCCATCCGGTAGGCTCGGCAGAGCTGCAGGGATGGGTTCGGCATGTTCGGGAGCAGCCTCGGCCGTACTTGTACTCGTTTGTAGGCGGGAAGCGGGCGCATGCAACCTGGGAGGGCTCGCTAAGAGGGGTCTTGCTAAACGATTGTGAGAATGATCCTAAGAGGTGCATCTTTTTAGAGTGTACTGGTGCTGATGCGGAGGCGGCAACTGCAGCAGCGGCGGAGATAGGCCGGCAGGCGCAGAAACGGAAGGAAATGGGGAACAGCAGGGAGGGGAAGGGGGAGGAAGATGGGATTGAGCCGGATTTTCCCCTGAGAGGATGTATGGATCCCAGGAGAGTGACCGGTGTGATGCTCCAGTCCGAATTCTGCCTTCAACCAATCGGGGACAGCCTCACTAGAAGGTCATTCTTTGACTCGATAATAGCAGGGTGCATTCCTGTAGTGTTTGCTCCAGGCACGTTTTATTATCAGTACCCCTGGTTCTTTGCTATTGGAGATGAGGCTCGGAGGAACGTGTCAGTAATGGTGGATTCGGACGATGTGATTGGTCGGAAGGTTAGGATCGGGGAGGTGCTTGGGGGGATATCGGAGGAGAGGAAGAGGGAGATGAGGGAGGAGCTTTATAAGCATATTCCGAGGCTGCTTCTAAGGGATCATACGAAAGAGGGGGAGGTGGGAGAGGAGGGTATGTTCGTAGACTTGGTGGATAGGACGATCGAAGGGCTGATTGAGAGGAAGAAGATGAGGAGAGCTGGCGTTGCCGGGAGCTATTTCCCTTTGTAGGTTCGGCTGGGAGGTGGGAGAGGAAGGGGTGTTTGTGAATCTTCGCCTAATGGCTTTGTGTTAAGATGATGGTGGGAGCATTGCAGGCATTCAGTAGGCAGTTAGTAGTGGCTTGACACTCGGCACGTGACAGGCTTTTGGCAGTTCAACTGGAATTGGCTTGGACCTGTTTAGGCTTGTTGCAGGAAGGATGGATGGAAATTGTGTGACTAGTTATGGACTGGAGTGACAAAGGGGTTCTCAGGGAGTACCGTTAGTTTATGAGTGACACATGGGCTGTTCTGGCCGTGTAGGGAGGTGGTCAGGAGGAGGACGCAGGGGACCAGTGTGTTTTAAAGGAATATTAGTGAGTGTTACAGAGGCATCAAAGCTGTGACAACGCATATGAAGAGACTGCGGTACTTTCCGAAAAGATGCTTCGTTCGGTTACATCTACTTGAGTGCTAGCCTAGCTACTGGATCACACGAATGCGTATCAGATCATGCTCGGCAACAGGGTGTCTGGCTGGAAAAGGGACGGGCGAATGTGTATCTAGCAAGCCTTGCAACCAAGCCAGCCAACAGCGAATCAGCACAGCTTTGAAGGGAAAGAAAGACTTGCACTTTGAGGTTTGTAGTATGTACACAGCATCTACCGTACCAATTGATGGCAAATTGTTGTAATTTCCATCATAGAAACCAGCCTCTTTCGCCTCTGCAGGTGTTGGTGGTGTTGTTGGTGGTGTGACTAATCATGTGTTGACTAATCATCTGCCTACATGCACATCACTACAGCCGTCCCCAACTCCCTACCTCCAACACCCCCTCCTCCTCCTGCTCCTTGTCCTCTTCGTGTCCTCCGTTCGTTGGGGGTGAGTTTGCCCTTGGCTGTGACGTCATTGAGGACACGCAGTTCGAGCTGGTGTACCATCCTGCGCACTGGCGAGCTGCTAGGAGGGTGTTGCGCTACCTGGTCAGACTAGCGAGCAGAACGTAGCACTTTGCACTTCGTTCCTTTGCCGTGCGAGTGTTGCTGCAGCGTTCCCAGCTTCGCCTTTGTACGTGGCCACACGAGCCAACACTACTTGTCTCTTGATCTTGTCTTGTACTTTGATATATAAACCTGCATGTTACTGGTTGTTAGGTTGTAATCATTGTACTGCTTGCTCTATTATAAACCTGCACGTGAACTGGCCTTGTGGCCGCTTGCTAGTGCTCAGAATGCGTTGTGATTTTGAGATCCACCCTGAGCTTGTTTTGCTTTGTTTCTTCTCTTGACTGGTCTTGTGACCTCTTCTTGTGTTTGCTATCTCCCACTTCGCCTATGGGGGTGTGTCAAATTATATGTTTACTGTTATCTTGGCTGTAGTGGGTTTAGCCTTAGGGGGTATAGTAAATTGCTCGACACTTCTTGTACCCCCTCCCTCTTACCTAATCCTCATTCCTTCCTAGCTAATCTCAACACAAGTAACAGTGCCGACGCTATTCGCGTCCGGACGGCTTGCTAGGAAGCACTGCGCCTCTTATGTGATTTAGGACTGCTTGCAAGGCTGCGTCTATATAGAGAACTCGCGGTCTCACGGATTGCAATGCATTGCGCCGCGCCTCCTCGTTTTCAGACGTATTGCATGGCCCTGTGCCTCGCCTGCATAGTAGGTGATGGAGTGCAACGCGCTGCGCCGCGCACGCACGTTTTCAGGAAGGAATGCCCCGCACTGCGCCGCGCATGCTCGTGCGAGTACACGTTGCAACGCGCTGCGCCGCGCATGCTCGTGCGAGTACACGTTGCAACGCGCTGCGCCGCGCATGCTCGTGCGAGTACACGTTGCAACGCGCTGCGCCGCGCATGCTCGTGCGAGTACACGTTGCAACGCGCTGCGCCGCGCATGCTCGTGCGAGTACACGTTGCAACGCGCTGCGCCGCGCATGCTCGTGCGAGTACACGTTGCAACGCGCTGCGCCGCGCATGCTCGTGCGAGTACACGTTGCAACGCGCTGCGCCGCGCATGCTCGTGCGAGTACACGTTGCAACGCGCTGCGCCGCGCATGCTCGTGCGAGTACACGTTGCAACGCGCTGCGCCGCGCATGCTCGTGCGAGTACACGTTGCAACGCGCTGCGCCGCGCATGCTCGTGCGAGTACACGTTGCAACGCGCTGCGCCGCGCATGCTCGTGCGAGTACACGTTGCAACGCGCTGCGCCGCGCATGCTCGTGCGAGTACACGTTGCAACGCGCTGCGCCGCGCATGCTCGTGCGAGTACACGTTGCAACGCGCTGCGCCGCGCATGCTCGTGCGAGTACACGTTGCAACGCGCTGCGCCGCGCATGCTCGTGCGAGTACACGTTGCAACGCGCTGCGCCGCGCATGCTCGTGCGAGTACACGTTGCAACGCGCTGCGCCGCGCATGCTCGTGCGAGTACACGTTGCAACGCGCTGCGCCGCGCATGCTCGTGCGAGTACACGTTGCAACGCGCTGCGCCGCGCATGCTCGTGCGAGTACACGTTGCAACGCGCTGCGCCGCGCATGCTCGTGCGAGTACACGTTGCAACGCGCTGCGCCGCGCATGCTCGTGCGAGTACACGTTGCAACGCGCTGCGCCGCGCATGCTCGTGCGAGTACACGTTGCAACGCGCTGCGCCGCGCATGCTCGTGCGAGTACACGTTGCAACGCGCTGCGCCGCGCATGCTCGTGCGAGTACACGTTGCAACGCGCTGCGCCGCGCATGCTCGTGCGAGTACACGTTGCAACGCGCTGCGCCGCGCATGCTCGTGCGAGTACACGTTGCAACGCGCTGCGCCGCGCATGCTCGTGCGAGTACACGTTGCAACGCGCTGCGCCGCGCATGCTCGTGCGAGTACACGTTGCAACGCGCTGCGCCGCGCATGCTCGTGCGAGTACACGTTGCAACGCGCTGCGCCGCGCATGCTCGTGCGAGTACACGTTGCAACGCGCTGCGCCGCGCATGCTCGTGCGAGTACACGTTGCAACGCGCTGCGCCGCGCATGCTCGTGCGAGTACACGTTGCAACGCGCTGCGCCGCGCATGCTCGTGCGAGTACACGTTGCAACGCGCTGCGCCGCGCATGCTCGTGCGAGTACACGTTGCAACGCGCTGCGCCGCGCATGCTCGTGCGAGTACACGTTGCAACGCGCTGCGCCGCGCATGCTCGTGCGAGTACACGTTGCAACGCGCTGCGCCGCGCATGCTCGTGCGAGTACACGTTGCAACGCGCTGCGCCGCGCATGCTCGTGCGAGTACACGTTGCAACGCGCTGCGCCGCGCATGCTCGTGCGAGTACACGTTGCAACGCGCTGCGCCGCGCATGCTCGTGCGAGTACACGTTGCAACGCGCTGCGCCGCGCATGCTCGTGCGAGTACACGTTGCAACGCGCTGCGCCGCGCATGCTCGTGCGAGTACACGTTGCAACGCGCTGCGCCGCGCATGCTCGTGCGAGTACACGTTGCAACGCGCTGCGCCGCGCATGCTCGTGCGAGTACACGTTGCAACGCGCTGCGCCGCGCATGCTCGTGCGAGTACACGTTGCAACGCGCTGCGCCGCGCATGCTCGTGCGAGTACACGTTGCAACGCGCTGCGCCGCGCATGCTCGTGCGAGTACACGTTGCAACGCGCTGCGCCGCGCATGCTCGTGCGAGTACACGTTGCAACGCGCTGCGCCGCGCATGCTCGTGCGAGTACACGTTGCAACGCGCTGCGCCGCGCATGCTCGTGCGAGTACACGTTGCAACGCGCTGCGCCGCGCATGCTCGTGCGAGTACACGTTGCAACGCGCTGCGCCGCGCATGCTCGTGCGAGTACACGTTGCAACGCGCTGCGCCGCGCATGCTCGTGCGAGTACACGTTGCAACGCGCTGCGCCGCGCATGCTCGTGCGAGTACACGTTGCAACGCGCTGCGCCGCGCATGCTCGTGCGAGTACACGTTGCAACGCGCTGCGCCGCGCATGCTCGTGCGAGTACACGTTGCAACGCGCTGCGCCGCGCATGCTCGTGCGAGTACACGTTGCAACGCGCTGCGCCGCGCATGCTCGTGCGAGTACACGTTGCAACGCGCTGCGCCGCGCATGCTCGTGCGAGTACACGTTGCAACGCGCTGCGCCGCGCATGCTCGTGCGAGTACACGTTGCAACGCGCTGCGCCGCGCATGCTCGTGCGAGTACACGTTGCAACGCGCTGCGCCGCGCATGCTCGTTTTCCGGAAGGTATGCAACGCACGGAACCGTGCATGCTCGTTCATTGACGTATTGCAACGCACTGCGCCATTCATGCTCGTTTTGGCTGCGCCACGCCTGCTCCTTTTCAGTCAAATTGCAATGCACTGCGCCGCGCATGTCCGTTTTGGAACGGCTAAAAATGCACTGCGCCGCCCATGCTCGTTTTGGGGCGGGGAGCAATGCACTGCGTCGCGCCTCCTCGTTTTCAAACCCATTGCAAGGCACGGTGCCTCGCCTGCTCGCTTTCAAATGGAGGCTAAGGCACTGTGCCTCGCCTCTTCGTCTTCATACGGACTGCGGAGCACTGTCCGTACCGACTGCTCATTTTCGTAGGGAATGTAAGGCTCTGCGCCGTGCCTCCTCGTGTTCAGCCTTCTTCTGCAATGCACTGCGCCATGCCTGCTCGTTTCCAGACGGATTGCAAGGCACAGTGCTGCCTTGCCCCACTTCCCGTTTTCCCCTTCACTGCCAATTGCCGCTACCGCTGCTGTTGCCCCTACCCATTTCGGGTGTACACATTCAATCCCTACTTCCGCTTCCCTCAATCCCTCCCCATATCCCCATTTCCCAGCCACTCCCCATTTCCTCTTCCCTCCGTCCATCCCCATTTCCTCTTTTCCCAGTGACTCCACATTTCCCCTTCCCTCCACATTTCTGCATCCCTCTGACACCCCCCATATCCCCATCCCCCTGTCCTTCCCAAGTTCCTCTTATCCCTGTCACTCCTCATATCCCCTGTACTACGACCCTCCCCATTTCCCCGTTTCCCAGTCACTCCCCATTTCCCCTTTACACAGTCACCGCTGTGTTTCCCCTTCCCTTAATCCCGCCCCATTTCCCCGTTTCTCATTCACTCCCCAATTCCCAATCCCTCTTACCCTCCCCCATTCACTTCCGTGCGTCACTCCCCATTTCCCCATGCTTCCGTCCCTCCCCGTTTCCCTTTTCCAAGACACCCCTCAAATCTCTTTCCTCCGTCCCTCCCCATATTGCCCTCCCTCCGTCCCTCCCCATTTTCCCTTCCTACCGTCCCGCCCCATATCCCCTTCCCTCAGTCCCTCCCCATTTTCCCTTCCCTTCGTCCCTCCCCATTTTGCCGTGCCTAAGTTCCTCACCCTTGTGCACCATACACACCGCTGTCCCTCCCCATTTTGCCTTCCCTCTGTCCATCCCCACTTCCCCTTCCCTCTGTCACTCCCATTTCCCCTCCCCTATATCCCTCCACGTTACCCCTTCTCTCTGTCACTCCCTGTTTCCCTTCCCATACACTCCATGTTACCCCTTCCCTCTGTCCCTCCCCTCTTCCCCTCCCTCTGTCCTTCCCCAATTCCCCTTCCCTCTGTCCCTCCCATTTCCCCGTCCCTCTGCCTCTCCCCATTTCCCCGTCCCTCTGTCCCTGCCCATTTCCTCTTCCCTCTGTCCCTTCCATTTCCCCTTCCTTCCGTCAATCCCATTTCTCCGCCCCTCTGTCCCTCCACATTTCCCCTCTCATCTGTCCCTCCCATTGCCACTTCCCTCTGTCACTCCCATTACCCCTTCCCTCTGTCCCTCCCCATTTCCCATCCCCCCTTTCCCTCGACCCGCCACTTCCCTCTGTCCGTCCCAATCTGTCCTTCCTCCTTTCCCCTTCCCCTTGTCCCTCCCCATATCCCTTCTCTCTGTCACTCCCCATTTCCCTCTCCTTTCACTCCACGTTACCCCTTCCCTCTGTCCCTCGCCATTTCCCATTCCCTCTGCCCCTCGCCATTTCCCCTTCCCTCTGTCCCTCCCCATGCCCCTTTCCACTATCTCTCCCATTTCCCCTTCCCTCTCCTCCCACTTTCCCCTTCCCTCTGTCCCTCTTATTGCCCCTTCCCACTGCCCTCCCAATTCCCCCTTCTCTGTCCCTCCCCATTTTCCCTCCCTCTGTTCTGAACCCAATTCCCCTTCCCTCTGGCCTTCCTCATTTCCCCTTCGCTCTGTCCTTCCTCATTTCCCCTCCCCTCTGTCCCTCCCCTCCTGCCTTCTCTCTGTCACTCCTCATTTCCCTTTCCACAACACTCCATCCATCCCTTCCCTCTGTCCCTCCCCATTTCCCCTACCCTAAGTCCCTCCCCAATTTCCCTTCCCTCCCAGGCATCCCCATGCCCTTCCCACTATCCCTCTCATTTACCCTTCCCTCTCCTTCCACAATTCCCCTTCCCTCTGTCCCTCGCATTGCCCCTTCCCATTGTCCTTCCCAATTCCCCTTTCCTCAATCCCTCCCCATTTCCCCCTCCCTCTTTCCTACCACGATTCCCCTTCCCTCTGTCCCTCCCATTGCCACTTCCCTCTGTCCCTCCCAATTCTGTTAGAACAGCCATGCTTGCTCATTTACTCTACCATTCCCCTTCTGTCCAGTTGTGTCTCTCACCAGCCTTGGCCTGGCCTGAACCCTGTCCCTGCCTCAGCCCTACTCTCCCCCTATGATTGCCCCAGGCATCACATTCCGTAGCCCTCTCACACACATATCACCCGCCCAAGGGTCGGGCATCAAGGTCGGCGACGTCAGCTTAGCCACCCCACCCTGCATATGACCCCTTCGCTCCCCTTGCTTGCTTCCTCATCTGACATTCCTCCTCTGTTCCCTTGCGTCCCTCCCAGACAATACGGACTATATTCCGATAGCCCCTCACTGCGCGCACGGGTACCAGTAGTAGCACCAATCAGCCCACTTGCTTCTCACAGCGGTGCCCACCAACCGCCGCCTGAATCGCCAAAACTGCCCCCCCCCCCCCTCTCCCCCCCCCATCCCCCCCCCCCAACAGCTTCCCCTCCCCATTTTGCCTTCCCACCGTCCCTCCCCATTTTGCCTTCCCACCGTCCCTCCCCATTTTGCCTTCCCTCTGTCCCTCCCCAATTTGCCAAACCCTTTGTCCCTTCCCAATTTGCTTTCCCTCTGTCCCCATTTCCAGTCACGCCTGCGGCGTCCCCGCTGACTTGGCCATCAAGCTACCTGACGGGCCTGATTCTGACGACGCCTCTCGTGTGTACTAGTGTGAGTGTCCACGACTACTGGTGTAGTGTGCCTGGTATTCACCTATGCACCCCCACTTACCCTCCTCAAACAGCCTACACGTCCTCTTCACAACCTTCCCAAATCACTCGTCCTATCAACAACCTTCCCGCATCACCCGTCCTCTACACGACCTCCCCATGCATGAAAGTGGTGTTGATCTACACCGTGGTTCATGGAAGATTGCCGTCTCAAACACACACGCTTGCCCACTTTCCCTGCCATTCCGCCTCTTGCCAATTGTGTCTCACCCAAGCCACCAGTGCGAGCACGCATCACCAGCCTTTGCCCGTCACATGACCCATTCCTTGCCTCGGCCCTACTCTCACCCTGTAATAGTCCCATGCATTGCAGTCCTCTCACGCACATATCACGACATCGGCACAAGCCACTAGCCCTGCAGATGACCCCTTCACACCCTTGCTTGCTCCTTCCACGGATATTCCCGCTCTGTCCCCTTACGCCATGGGAGGCATCACGGTCTATAGACCACCAGCCTAGCCCTGCGCGCACGTCTTATAGAAGCTTCAAATAGCCCACCTGCCTCTCACAGCACTGCGCCTTCTCGCTGTTCGAGTGAAAATCAACGCATAGCGCTGCCCATACTCATGTTCGAACGGAAATCTAGGGTTGGCGCTCCACCTCGACACATGCAAACGGATGGCAAGGCACAACGCTGCAGCTTGTTCTATCGGCCAGCAGTGCACAGCGAAGCGTGTGATAGATAAATCAAACAGTCATGCCCGTTACAATCAACCCAAACCTCATGCCTCTGTCCCTCCGATTCCCCCACCCCTCTGTCTCTCCCCATTTCCCCTTCGCTCTTTCCCTCTCACTGCACCTTGCCTTAAACTACCTTTTCCCCTTGCCCCTCCTCATTTCCACTACCCCCTATCCCTTGGCAATTTTCTCATCCCTCTGTCACTCCTCATTTCCCTTTCACAGTGTTTCTCCCTAATTCCCCTTCGGTTTGTCCATCCCCATTTCCCCTACCCTCTGTCCCCTCTCGTTTCCCCACTTCATTGTCACTACATATTCCCCCTTCCCACTGCTCGTCCCTAGTTTCCGAACCCATTGCCCCTCCCAGTCCCCCTCCATCCAGTCTCTCCACATTTCCCCTTCCCTCTGTCCCTCCCACTGCACTGCCCTCTGTCCCTCCCGCTCCCCATTTTCCCATCCCAGCGAAGCTCCCTATTCCCCCATCCCTCTGTCCCTCCCAATTGCCTAAACCACTGTCCATACCCACCTTGCCTTCCCTCTCTCTTTCCATCAGCGCCTGTCTATACATCAAGCTGCCTGACGGGCTTGATTCTGACCACTCTGCTCGTGTGTACTAGTGTGAGTGTCCCCGTTTATGTGTGTACCCCGTGTGTACTTGGGTTGCATGCTGGTGTTCACCTACTAGCTGCTGTCCTCCTCACAACCTTGCCACCCCCCCCCCCCCCACTCTCCCCTCCCCCCCACTCTCCCCTCCCCCTTCTCCCCTCCCCCACCCAGCTGCTACAAACCCCGCTGAGAAATCAAACGCTTCCGCTACCCTCGACTGTCGTCACTATCTCAACTTTGTCGTGCCTGTCACTTGCCACCAGCAGATCACTCCTTCTGCATCGTTATTCCCTTTCTCACCCTTCTGCCAGACGGAGCTCACATGTCCGGCACAGAGAGGGATGGTGGCGACGAGGGTACCGGTCGTGCTGCCTTGGTGCAGGCTGGTGAAGCCAATGTGACTGAGACATCCAAGGCATTGCACAGGTTGCCGGATAAAAGAAAACTCACTCTCAGTTGTCACTTGACCACACCATGGGCCATTCTACGCTGCGGATTGGCAAGCCTCATAAAAATTATGCGTGCCACGGGATAGTGATATGGTATTCTTGTTCATCGAAGCCGCCCCCGCTCTTGTTGACTGTTTACTTGACGCAGCCTCTACTGCAGGTATGACAAATTAATCAACCATACTCTTTGCCCCCATCCTAATGTATTTCCAGCCCATCCACTCCTATCCGGCTGCCCAGATGCACGTCCGTCTCAATCTGATTTACCTAGCTGCCCATTTTTTTCCATAATCTTCAAACACATGCACATCGCACCCCATCCCATCCTGTTGCCCGCATGCCCATCCCTTTCAAATCCTCAATCAGATTTGCATCACAACCTCACCCTGAATCCACCATGTTGTTCACATGCTCATCCCTGTCAATCTGGTTTACCAATTTTCTAAATGTCTTATGCCCGTCTTGGTGAAGGTGCGAGGGGATGCGGCGTCAAGTCTGCGTTCAAGGCGGGTGTGGATGCACACGCGTCATCGGTGCGAGTAAAGAAAGAAAGGCCAAAGATTTCCTACAGTGAGGGAGCTTTATTCCCTCCGCTCGACACCAATCAGTGGTTTGGTGTACAGCTTTATCACAACGCCGGCGGAGCAGAATGACGCTGAGCCGGTGCCTGGGTTTCGATGGGGTGGGGCCAGACGTGGAACAGCCTATCAGTCGCTGAAAACTTCCGGTAAGATGCTATATCCTTATGAGTGATGCATTGGAATTGTGGGTAAGTTGTATTACAGTCATAGCAGGCTCAGTGTGTTCTACCACATTTCCAAATGCCGCCCCTACGTTCTAACCCACATGTTCAGTGCCCGGGACATTTCAACAAAGGGCGCGGTCAAAGTACCCACGACATCTGCCACGCGTTACAACCCGCGCAGGCACGCTGCGGGAGCCCTACTCTGGCATGACGCAGCAGGGTTTGGCAGGCGGAACCACTAGCGATGATGTTGAGGAGGGGTTGCAGGAGGAGGCAGTCACAGAGATCGATGGAAACAACGAGGGGAGCGGCGGTGAGGATCAAGAACATGCGACAGGCAGCATGGGTGTTGTGAGGGATCGACACATGGCAACAAACAGGGGAGGTGCGACGAACGTGGTGGAAGAATCAGCTCCAACAACGAGTGCATTCGCAAAGTGAGATGGACGAGCATGGTTACTGCAAATGGCGTACATGCGTTTTAATCTTTCCACATGCTTTTTGGAGTTGCTGTCGAACATGCTGTTTGGAGCAAAATTTTCATGCAATCATCAATGTGTCCATGGACCCCAAACGCCCAACAGTGACGATCCCCGTCATCAGAGTTTCGGATGCGGTGTCCCGCAAGGCTGGCCATCTTCTCCGAGCCTTACTAACATTAGTAAGGGTACTATGTGCTACTTGGACACTGTGTGGTTTGTAAGGTTGATGCTGCTCTTCTCTCTTCAGTGCACTGCTGGTGTAGCGTGCGGAGGGACGATGCTTTTACAGTCATGGAAGAGGTCTTTGGGGGCATTTGGGTTGAGGTGTAAGCGCACTGAAGTTTGGTGGAATTGTAATCGTGAGGCGGATGTGGGTCAGGCATCAAAGAAAGGGCCAAAGATGCCGTGGCTCACTCGTACTGTGATGGGAGCATACGTGATAAGTGGTTGTGGGTACCAGACTCTGGAGTCCGTGTCACGCAACCTCGGTATCCCGATCCCAGCGGCGGGAACATTTTATTCATATATGAAGAGCCCGCATGGTCTTTGGGCTAGTATTGTGCGTCAGAGTGAGTTATCGATGGCGAAATCGAGAGAGGAAGTCAAGAAGAGGGGTGACACAAAAATATGGAGAACCGCGGATGGAATGTGGTCACAAGCGAGAGAGGGAGAATGGTGTACAGTATCGCTGATGGATAGGGAGACACGCAAGGTACTTCACTCCGTAACAATCAACAAGCATCGGCACGGTATTTCCTCAACGGCAATGGAGAAGGTGGCTTTCGAGCAAGCGATGCATGAACTGTCAGTGTTTGGGTTCAAGGTGGACGGTGTGATAACTGATGGGGGAACTAGTTTCAAGACGGTGCTGGCTTCCATGGGGTTGGAGCATCAGCAGGACGTGTGGCATATGGCCAGGACAATTATCAAGGCATTGCTGCGAGAGTTGGTGGATGCTCGTAAAGATGACAACATGACTGTAGAGGCGGCACGGACCATTGAGGACCTGTGGCACATCAAGAAAACAACGTTATTCGGATGGCTTGAAAAGACGGGGAGGAAAGGGCGGCTGACGGTTTCGTCCACCAGGGAGGCGCTTATAAGGGCGGTGTGCTCCGGTCTTGGCACCATCGCTTTCAAGAGCATCGATCCTTCGGAGGCGTCCTATAAGCATCCAGAGTTGCGACAGGTGGTTGTGCGAATGGCTGGGACAGGCACTGCAACAAATCGTCTCGCAGAGGCGATTCAGACACTTGATGACGCACCCCCAGTGCCGTCGGAGGGAGATACGAATGCTGACAGCAATGCGGTAGTGTTCGAGGACGTGGCTCGGATGTTTGCCTGGGACCCACACCCAGTGTACGGGGCACGCCCATCGTCATACGCATCACTGCTGTTGGCACAGGAGGTAGCTGGGCGATCGGACACGGTTGCGGCAGTTGCAGATACTGGGGCTGAAATGACGGAGCAAGGTGAGACGTTTGACTTTTTATGTGTGATCACATGCACGTGTGTTATTCGCGCCTTGTATGTCACTCATCTCCCCCTCCACCACTTCACATTCATTATTCGAGTGTCTCTAATGTCAATGTGGTTCCACGTGGTGCTCGTTAATGCATTTGTGCTCACCTTACATGCTTCTCCCCTCTTGCAACGGCCCGTGTGTTCCAGCGCTTCTACAAGACGCCGTGCAGCTGAGAATAACTCGGCGCGATATACCGACATAAAGATTGGAGCGGCAGCGGATAAAAATGATGCAATTCGACACTCGATCGGCCTCCTCGCGGCGCTTCAACGCGGCAACCACTGAGATCCTGCAGCAGCGGCTGATCCTGTGCGCCCGGCAGCTCCAACGGCACCTCGTTCCCGCGCTCCTCCTCCCCCTCTTGATCCCGAGGGCGTCGACGACGGCGATCACACTAATTTCGAGAACCTCGACGAAGGTAATCCCGCTCGTCCTAAGGCCCCAGAACCACTTAATCTTGCTCCTATACCTCCTGCACGTCCTCAATTGCGCTCATCTCTCGTCAAAGGCGACGGCATTCGCACTCAACTATTTAGTTTCGAACGCATTCAAGCAATTGCACGCCATGCTTTTTCTATCCTACCGTCCCAAGGCGGCGAGCAACTTGTTGATTACCTTCAGCAAATCATTGATGAGGCTGAAGAAAAGATTCGTTTTTTATTCACTGCGGATCAGCGCGGCTTTGAAGTAACCAATATGGCTTTAAAGATTAAGCACGGAGAGGTGGTGGAGGACAAAAACGTTAAGGCCGCCACGATCTGAGTGGCGGCCAA